ATTATCTGTGTACGGCGGTCGTATTTCATTGCCATCTCGCTCAGCTGCGGGCACGTGAAACAGTGTGCAAATGACAATCTTTGCCATTTCACGTTGCGCCCACAAAAATATTTATGCCCACCGGTTGAGAGTCAATTTGAATTTTATGCGCGCGAGTTATTGTTTTTCGAATGCCTGACAAATTGTGGCCAAATTATGCATGGATCTGTGCAACAGTCAGCCGATTGCTATGCATCTGACTGTGCCGCACCTGGCGTATACGTAATAGAGCGCATGCATATTACGCATACGCCGCCGTTGTCGCACTGCAATGGACAAACAAGAGATCCACTGAAGCGAAATTGAATTCGATTACGTTCGTTGCGGGCTAAATAAAAGTTAAATAGAATTTGCAATCATTGCGGGCAAACGAGTGACAGGAAATGGCCGGATATGGCTCAATTATGGATATACTAATAGTATCCACGGTCGAGATTTCAATGATGCCACACATTCGTACGCCTTGCATTAATTATGGACAATTATCGTTTGCCTTGGCTTTATGTGTTACACAAGCCTGTCAGGCTACACATGCCGCATGCCGCATGCCGCATGCCACATGCCACATGCCGCATGACACATTGGCAACAATTAGGCAAGGCTTACATAAGCTGAGCTAATAGCTGCCGGACGGCCGCAACTAAATACCAACGATATTCATTTGCGGCAAACGGGAAAGTTAATGGGAAGCTTTGCATATGTGGAGCCTGAAGGACATCGCCAATCCCTTGTGGCGGGCAGAGCCAGCGAATGGTGGGTCGCGCAGCTGCTTATAATTATGCAAATGTCCGACGAGCAGCCGCAACGCAACCCTTGTCAAGTCGCTCGCAGCGCTTATCATTGTCGAATCGAAGTTTGATTGTGGCAACACACAAACACACCCGCACACACACACACATACACACATATGCGCGCTTAGGCCGTTTATTGTTGCTCTTGACATACAGTTTATATTTCATTTAATTTAGCTCACGCTCCCTGAACATGCACCGGAAGCACATTCTCGTTTTTGTCGCCAAACTGCACGGCGAGCGGGCTGCCAAAAGGACGCTTTGCCCTGGCCGCATGCAAATTGAAAATTAATTAAAACTAAGAATGTATTTGATGTGTGTTAACTGTGTGCTTCCGCTGTGCGCGCCACCAACTGTGGCTGACTTTAAATTAAAGAGCCAGAGCCGAAGCAATGGAGCGCCTGCCATGGCAACGGGACGCGTTCGCGCCGCAGCCTTTGTAAAAGTTTTTATCTGAGACGGAAAGAAACGGGAGACCCTTGAAACCAATGCGCTGTCACAGGGGCTGTTAGAATGGTGACATGCCAGCGAAACAGATAAGAGAATAGCAACTCGTCGAGCAACTAAACCGACTAACGGATGCCCTGCGAAAAGTATCGATTCGATGTATAGTGCTTAGGCAATATATTAAATCAGCCCAGCCGGTCTATAAATGGACTAACCTATATATTATTTATTGCATATTTAATCCGCTCTTGCGTGAAATTAATGTATTGCGCCTCTTTCCAACTCGCTCATCATTTATGCAGGGTGTCTAATTCAACTCGTATTCCAGTTTAGTCGCAAATTATTCGCAAATATTCTAAGCTTTGTCCTTGCCACAGCTTCCGGGCCGTGTGCCACGGACGGCCCTCGACAAATCATATTTAGCATGGTAATTATTTATCTGTGTACGCTGTGCCCCTGTGCGTCGGGCACATTTCAACACTAGAGCGTAGCTCCTCCGGCTAACAGCTCTGCTTGGCATCATTAAAATCATAAATCTAATGGACAAGCAGCTGGCAACTGCAGCTGTATATATATTGCTTGAATTATGGTCGTTCTTATTCTTGCTGGTTTTCATTTCTTCTTTTTCTTCCTCATTTTTTTTTTCTTTGTTTGTCCTTCAAGATTTTCTTCTTCTATTAAATTTTTGGTGACTGTTGACAGGCTGTCTGCTGGCAGGAAATATTTTAAATATTAACGTAATTCTGTTTATCCGTTTGGCCTGCCAGGAATGTCTGAGCATAGGTCAGCTCAGACACGCTTGTATATATTTCATCGAGTTGTCCGTACGAAAAGACGCATATTAATTGAATTTAAGTAGCTTACTTCAATCAAGTTGGGCTCTTCATTCCACTCGAAGAGTTCTATATACTCATTAGCCTGCTGTTCATTTGTTTGTTTGCTCAAAAGTTGCCAACTACAAATGACATCTATGGCATCTAAGCTGCTGGGCAAAGCGGATTTAATAGAGCTGGGTTAACTTTTCTATAGCAAATCCTTCAATTTCTTTTGATTATATTTAATGAATGCGCACGCTTCAGATTTAACTCGGTTCTGCCTGCAATGCCAATCAAATTCCATTGGGCTCACAATTTTCAACTCTAATTAGCTTGAGCTGGAAACGCACAACATCAAAGCGTGCAACAATTCGTTGCCTGCTACTGCTGCTGCTGGCTCTGCTGTTGCTTGTGGTTGTGGTTGGTGCACAGGTGTTCAATGGGGTCCAACAGTTGCAGAGTTAAGGCCAGCTGATAAGCATCGGCTTAATTAGTTGGCCTATTTGCATAGCCGAGGGCGTACAATCAAAAACATGCGTACAGCTATTTATTTAGGCCCAACTCAAGAGCCGGCAACACCCACACACACACACACACACACAATTAGTGATTAAAAAATGAGTAAAATGTAATAAACGCGTGACCGAACGAGTCGTCCACCCATCAAGCTGGGTGAAAATTTATGACTATTAAGCTTGGCCATTGTTTGATGTTTGTTGGCTAAAAGGAGCCGGCTTAATGGCTTATTATGATTATTAATTCATAGCGGGACGGCAATTACAGCGATACTCAACTATTGCAGGCGACAAGCCAGCCTAAATTTCAACATTGCCAGCAACACCAACAGCAGCGGCAGCAGCAGCGGCAGCTGTGGCTGTGGCTGTGTGGCATACAACATGACGTCGTCTCCACCAATAAAACATACCAAAAGAGCCGCAGAATGTAGGCGCCAACTGTGCGTATGTGTGTGAGTCTGTGGGGGCGTCTGTTTGTGCATGTGTGCGTGTGTCTGTGGTTTGAGCAGGTGTGCGCACTATGATTGCCCCTAGAAGCATGCAACATGCTTTAACTCAGCAAAAGCCACTCGCCACTCGACTGGGATTTGCGGTGGAGCGCGCCTGTGAGCTTATACATACATATATATGCATATACATACGCACACACATGCGTGTGTATACTTTTGTGGCTCTGGCTGACGGCTTGACGTTTGTTGATTTTGTAGTACTAATAAAATACACGCGCTCAGCGTCAGCGTCAACGCTCGAATGCAGATAAAAAATATAATTAAAAATTGTTGCTGCTGATGTGTGTTGCTGTTGCTGCTGTGTGTGTTGCTGCATAATTTGCACATGGGCAGAGAAAGCGCTGTTTGGCTTTTTATGCCCACTGCGTGACTGCTACGCTGCTACATGTATTAACAATATACCACATATGCTGTGGCTCTTCTCCCACTTCCACGCCCACTCGCCTTTCTCCTTTCGTGGGTGTGCTTTACGACTTGGCTATAAAGTTAATACACAATTTTGGTTTGGTTTTGCATGTCGAGAACGTCCTTCGCCTTGCGCTGCCTATAACTACGTACTCAAGATGGGACTCAGGCCAAAAACTAGCTGCAGCTGGCATTTGGCCAGTGGATTAAGCAACTTGTGCTTTCATATACTTTTTTTTTTTTTTTTGTATTTTTAATGACCCACAGGGACATTGCTAGCCTGTAAAACTTTATTGTTTGGCTTTGCTATGGAGCTAAAGTTTTATTTTAAATCAAATTAAACAGTTCTATTTACTTTAGCAGGGATTAGGCAATAGTTTAATGTTTTGAGTAGAGTTAAGAGACAGCTGGATAGCTTGAAATGATGATGATGATATTAATAGAGCTGAACATCATAGCTTAGTAATCTATGCAATGCATTTTGGGCTGTGAAGTGGATTAAAATTAATTCTTTGTATGACTAAAACATTTAAAGACTTTACAAACTCACAATTGTGACTCTACTGAGAGATCTATGAGACAGATATAATGAATCCATGATTTTATTTAATGCGCCGTTCACTGCAAGACCCTGACTCAGTACTCGATGCTCATTCAGCTCAGCTGCACTTGATTTAATTGAGAAGATTATTTAATTGTCACTTGCATTTCGCTTCATCGATTGGCATCTGGTTCAGTTTTAACACACTTTCAATTGCCTGACTAAACCAGCACAGCACAACAATAAACCATTTGCTAAATTGCATAGTTTGTCTTAACCAATTTGTCAACTGTGTCTAACTACTAATTACTAATCGTATTCATCTCTTCTTTTTTTGCTCTGTTTTATGCTTTTCTTTTGTTGCATTGGAAAACCAAAAACGTTTTTAGAAATCCATGACAAAATTAAATAAAAAACTTTAACATTTTGATCGACTAATAACAAACTATTTGTGTGTTCTTTTTTCTTTGTCTCTTTTCATCAATAACCACTTTTGTGCTGTTGTTTTCATGCTCACACACAACAACAACATACGCCCACTCACGCACACACACACACACACACATATATACACCATATGTGCTGTCAACTTTTTGCTATTGCTCTATCGCTCGTTCTATTTAACTAATAACAACACCACGAACACCACCAACACCACCACCACCACCACAACAACCACCACAACCACTTGTGACAAAATGTTATTTAACCCATTTTGTAATGTGTTTTTAATTGTCCAACTAACTTTTAACTAACAATTTAACTAAACTACGTATGTGCGTAATTCTGTTATGTCCCGTTCCGTGGCCCGCAAACTAAACCACAATTACAACAACAACAAACATTACCATTAACAACAACAACACCATCATTATGTATACCAACACCAACACCACTTCCAACAACAACTACAATAACAACAACAACAACAACTACAGGCTCTTGCGCGCTGAATTGTATGCGCTGAGATGCAAGGTCGTTGGTGGAGCAGGAGCGCAGTCACAGCCAATGCCACTCGATGCCACACAACAACAACAACAACAACAAGAACAACAACAACAACAAGACCCTAACCAACAACAGCAAACAATGCTAGAACAACAACAACAACAACAACAACAACAGCTTGAACACAACAACCACAAAAATCTACACAACGACTTGAGTCGCCACTGTGCCCGCTGCACCACCGAACTGGGCCGCATCACCAACCGCGGCGCTCCCTGTCGCGTCTGCAAGCTGCGCGTGTGCAAAGCCTGTCGAGTCCATCACGCATTGGACTGGGTGTGCGTTGTGTGCCACAAGCAACTGTAAGTCTCTCTCTCTCTCTCTCACTCACTCTCTGTCTCTCTCTCTATCACTCTCGCTGTCTCTTTCTCTCTCTCTCTCTGTCTTTCTCTGCTTCTTTCTTTCTCTCCATGTCTCTATCTATGTGTCACACTCATCTAAACAAAATACTCTTAACTCTACGCTCCACACACGCATACTAACTAACAATATTTCATATATGTATATGGTATTTGTGTGTGTGTATGTTTATGTATTTTTATATACGTATGTGTATCTGTCTGATGCTCTTAGCGGTCTATCTCTTGATCTAGATAGTTTGAGATTTTTATATAATAATTTACATATAACTGTCTCAGTATTATATAGTGAATGCCCTGAAAGCTGTGCTGTATAAAACTAACTGCACATAAACTTAAAATGTTTGTTTATTAGTTATGTTAGTAAATGCCAAACAAGCATTAAACAATCCATGTACCATAAATACAATAATTATAGATTTTTATTATTATTAGAATGTCAAGAATCGTCCTGAGTCTACGCTATCTTTAGGTATTCCAACTGGTTCGTTATCTATTGTTCTCCTTTGCAAATAAGTGAAGCTCACTGTGAAGTTTCATTGTTGCAATCGAATTGTGTGTGCGTCTATAACCAAACTGTTCAGAGATAAAATTCCATAAAATGGCTTTGCATGCGGACGCCCGAGCTGCCAAACGGTTCACCGATTGCCCCACTCAGAGACTGTGGGATAGCTGATGCGATGCATAATTTATGAGGCGACATTTCCCGACATTTCACTTGTATTTTTGGCTGCTCCTGTTGCAATCAAAAACTCCTGCTGGCTGCGCGTGTGTGTGTGGCGCTCTCTCTGCATATTGCTTTCGTTCGCTTTCATTTCATGCGTTTCGATTGCACGGCATTTTTGATCACTTTGTAATCGAATGCGACATTTAGAATGCCTTTGTCCCACGCAGGACTCACAACAAAATTTGATATTCAATTTTCCTGGGATGCGATGCAAAAACTACATCAATGTTGCAACTCTTATTTGTTGCAACAAAACGACTCGCCTTTGATGCGTCAATGTCAATTCTCAATTTGTAAGCCCTGCCTTGACAGGCCTGTAAGCAAGCAGGAGTACTTAAGCTCTTCGGCTAGCATTAAAAAATAATTAAGAAATATGCTGCAAAGGAATTCAAGGTCGATGTTCATGAAGAGAGAAGAGAACGAATTTAAAGTTTTATTAAAGAAGTTGAGGTTTTGAAATGTTATCAAGGAGTTGGCTCTGATTGTTAAATGAAACAATGTATTTAATATATATTAAATAGTTACTTATGATATATAATTATAGAAAGCTTATCCCATTCAGAAAAAATGTCAGAATTCATTTGCCTTGCAAAATTAAAACATATTAAATTCTAACTACAATTTATTTTTTGATTGAAATTTAATACAGCGTTAATTAAATGAAAACAAATAACATTTCACCTGCCAGCCAAGTTAGTTGTAAATAAAATGATTCAATTAGTAGGTGCTATTTTTGCTTATGCTTTTTTATGAATTTTAATAAGTTATGCAAACTGTTGATAATTTCTGAAAAAAAAAATATATATTTCTAAACTATAGTGTCTAGCTGATATTCTTAATTAATTATATTCAAGGTCAGCACTAAATTAAAATACTGAAACTTGTTGATTTGTGGGTGACATTAGATGATTCGCTTCGAGCTTTAATAAAGTTTTGCTAAACAAAATGAAAATAGTACGAAATATTACACATACGCCCTGTTGCGCAGAGTTCAACACTTGTTAACTAAGCAAAACAATTGTAATGTAGCAACGAGTGTTGAAGTCTGTGCGAGCTGCCGATGATGCTGGCAGGCGACCCACACGCTCCCCGAGTTCAGTGTTAATTGCCAAGCCCCGAAAAAAGTCGTTAAAACAACAGCAACATAAACAAGGCCAGACGCAAGACTCTGAACTAATTAAATGTTGGCCAACGCAGTAAGAGCAGCAGCAGCAGCAGCATCAGCAGCAACAGCAGCTGCAGGGCAACTAGTATGGAAATTTTTGGAGCTCGGCTCCGTGCTGAGAATTCGCCAAGATGCTGGCAACGCCCACAGGTGTCAGCCAGATTGACGCCTCCCAAATGGCAGCCAGCTGTCAACGCAGCCCGCAATTGCAGCTGCTGTGTGCCGAGATGTGCACCACGCCCCCGTTCGCTTTGTCGAAGGCGTCGCATGCTTTACTATATACGTGCTTATATAATATATGTGTATGTATATGTGTATACATATTGATAGCTCTGGCTATGTCAGTGGCTGCGTCTTTGATTGGAATTTGTTCATAAAGTCTGACAAGAAAAAAACGCCTGACAGTCTCGAAGTGGCTGCGCCCTCAGCGGAGACGCCTCCAGAGCAGCCACCCGCCTAGTGTAATCATTACGGTGTTGCGTCATGTTGTTGTCTTGTTCAATGCTATACCCTGTACTTGGCTACTAAGGGCTATATCGACTGCTTAGAGCAGCAGGAAGTGTTGTAGATATTGCAAAATTCATAGCATTTATTTCTAGTTCAAGTCGAGTCGGTCTTGATTAAATTTTATTCTTTTCGCATAAGTATAGTAAGCTTCAGCTAGGGTATTTCCAAGTCAGGCACTCTGCTTTGCTGCACAGTTGCTTTATTTTAGCAACTTTTGTTGTTGCTCTTGCCAGACAATCAGTCAGTTTGTTGGCTGTGGCTGACACAGACAGACGTGCGATGTTAACGGATGTATTTTGGTTTTTTAAATGGAATTGGTCTTGTTGTTGCTCTTGCAGGGAGCTACAAGCAGCCAGCGGTGAGTGGCTGAAGGAAGCCTACGCATCCTGCGAGGCTGTCGATCACCTCAGCACCAGTGACGTGCTGCGGAAAAGCATACGTCGCTCTTGGACCATCTCAAGTGAGTTTGCGACATTCAGTTGAATCAACTCCTGCTGCTTAATAAACGCCCTGCTCTTTAACAGATCCCGAGGACGATCCGAATAATCCGAATGCCCAGCAGCCCGTCACCGATAACCTGTATCCACAGCAGCAGCACTTGATCGAGGCCCAATCGGCGGGCAGTTACCCCACATTGCACCAGCACACGCTGCATCAGCAGATGCAGCAGCAGCAGCAGCAACAGCTACAGCAGCAACTGCCACTGCAGCAGCAGCAGCAGCATCAGGCGCCCCCGCAGCCGCGCCAGACGCACATCATCAACTATAATAGCGGCACTGCCACGCCCATCACTGGCAGCAAGTGGCAGTTGGGGCGTCGCGTCCTACGCCAATCCACACTACCCAGCACACTCAACAACGATCCGAATCTGAGCGGCAGCGGTGCCAATCTGGCCAACTACAATTCGGCCAACTTGACCGCGCCCACCTCGCCCCACCAGATACAGAAGAGCCCGCTCTATCCGAGCGCCTACAACAGCGACGACATCATCCACATGAACATTGCGCCCGACTGCGACAACTACAGCCAGATCCAGATCCAGCAGCAGCAGCCGCAGCTGGAGGCAGCCGCGAGTCCTCCGACGCATAGCCATCGACTGCAGGTGCGCCGTCAGTCTACGCTGCCGGCGAATCCATGCCAGCCGCCGCCCAGCATATACATGTCCACCTCACCGAATCGCGTCTACAGCCGTTCGCCGGAACGGTCGCCCGGCGAGCAGCGCTATCCGCCCTTCACGCGCCAGACATCCTTCCCGGAGCCGCCGAGCAACAACTACCATCGCACCAAGCTGCTGCCCAACACCGCCAATCTAACAGCTCCGACCAACCAGTCCTCGCCAGTGGTCGCTGCGGCAGCGGCGCCGCCCCTGAGCTACGAGTCGCAGGCATCGAGCATGGCCAGCGATGAGATGGACTACAGCCAGGCATTCGGCAAGCCGCGCATGACGCGCCAGGCCACCTTGCCCAATCCCGAGCAGCATGTCAAGCTGCTGCCCACATCGCCGCCCAAGCGTCAGACGTCGCCGCAGTTCCGGCGTTCGCCGGAATTCACGCGCCAGCAGACGCTGCCCAATCCGGAAGCCTTCAACAGCGGCAACACGCTAACAGTGCACCAGACGCCACCGGGCAAATTCATGCCCATCTCGCCGCGAGCCAAGCAGAACTTCCTGTTCCCCAGCGTGCAGAATCCGCGCCAGTTTCTGTCGCAGCAGAACGTGCCCACTGTGGGCGGCGTCGACCTCGGCAGCGGCGGCAGCGTGGCGAGCGGCGCGGGCGAGCAGTACTCGAGCAGCCAGAGCGTCAACATACACCACTCGCGTGACCCGCACTCGAAGATGATCAAGGTGCGCAGCCACAGCAACGAGGAGTATTCGAACAGCACCAAGACGCACGTGGAGAGTCGGCGTCTGCTGCCGGAAATACCCACAACGCAGCGCTCGCAGAGCCGCTCGCCCAGCCGCCTGGTGCGGCAGGACTGCCTCAAGGAGCAGGAGCACGGCTCGCGCACCTTTGGCGAGGCCAAGCAACAGTTCTGCCAGTTTCCCGATGTCAGCGAGGAGCTGGAGACCCGGCCGGAGTACGTGGACTACTTTGGCAATAGCACCACCAGCTTCCTGGAGTCCGACGAGGTGCAGTACGAGAAGAACTACAACGCCGGCTTCAGCAGCGAACCGCGCATCATCTACAACGACGGCGCCGACGATGCCACCTACAAGCCCACGCTGCCGCGGCCCATGTACGGCTCCGAGAATGTGGTGACAGGCGGCGATGGTGGCTACGGTGCGGGCGCACCCATGCCCGGCTTCTACTCCGACATGCATGCGACGCACAGCGGCGCCGTGCTGCCGCGCACTCCGCTCATGCACAATCGCATGCGACGGCGCCAGTCGAGGGAGTTGCCTGCCCAGCCACAGGAGGAATACGCAGCGGGACAAAGCGAAGCAGCGCCAGCCGCAGCAGCTGGCTCGGCGTTGCCTGCCCCACCAGTGGCAAGCGCCACAGTGGGTGGCGCGGCACTCGCGGCGGACAGCAGCGCAGATCGGCGAAAGCCAGAGCAAATGCGTTCCGTGTCAGAGGACTCGGGTGCCAAAACGGCGCCGAAGCCCGTCACGCGGCGCTCCTTTTCGCATCCCGAGAAGGACTCAACGGTGGGGCACCTTGAAACTCGCCTTTGTGGTATTAGCGTGCTAATTAATTTCGACTTTTTGCAGCCACCAAAGAAAACGGAAACCTCGAAAATACCCAGTCCCCGACCCCTGGCCGATATACTGGACAAGACGCGCGGTGGCGCCACAAAGATACCGCTGGCCCGGCGTCGCAACAGCCGCGGAGAGGAGGGTAAGTGGAAGCTAGCGATTTCTAGTAGTTGCTTTGTGCACCAGCACAGCACAGCAGTAGAAACCTGTAGCTAGTTAGCTGTAGTTAGTTGCAATCACCCGATTTATTAAATTTGTGCACCCTCCTACCGCCCCCGCGCCCACGCCCACGCCCACCCATGCCGTTGACACATTAACCCGTATATAGGTAGAGTACCACAGCATCACTACTCCTTCCATGAACTGCTTAAGCACCAGAACTCTGACTTATCCAATCGCATGAAAAAAACGACAATTCCCGTTAACACAGTCCCAGCCAAGGAGGATGAGCAGGCCGCATCCGGAGCCGTAGCCAAGACGACTGACAAAGACCACGACGCGACCAACAATGAGGCCAATGACACAGCAGGTGCCGCAGCAGTAAGTGTGTCCCAGCGAGGCCATTTCCCCCTCCCACTCACATCTCAATACCCTTTCCAGCACACCAGCACACTGGGTGAACAGGAGCTCCAGAATGCAGTGGAGGCGGCTGCCGTTGTCTTCAAGAAGGTGGTGCTGCAGCGGCGCAAGGAGAAGGAGAAGGAGAAGGCCGCCGAGGAAGGTGAGTGCTAATGACCAGCTTCTCCAGTAACTATTATTAAATTATGTAGTTTGTGTGTAACTGTGTGTGTGTGTGTTTGTATTTGCTTGTCGCATAATTTGCTCGGTGATGGTGACCTGTGTCTAACCCAAGTTTTCACCGGGTTTCACTTTACGTCTAATTTTACGCACAAATTAATTACGTAGCGCGGTGGCCAGCTGTGGGAAAAGTCCTGCACTTGAGCTGGGTCATTATTGCCTTTATCACTCACTTTTACTTTTATCGCTCATTGGCCTGGTGCGTGCTCCTCCTAAGTAGTTGGGTGTAATTCCATATACAAATTTTCCAGGCTTTGCACACAAAAGTAATGCAGGAAATGTCTGCAACCAGCTGTAGGATGATAGAAAGTTTAAACGCTGAAATGCTGTGCTTGAACAGAGAAAATATTTATAAATAAATACAGAATATAAATACAGAGAAACTGAACCGAAGCAACGTTCGTTTCTGTGTAACAATTTCTACTGCTGCCTAAAAGTATGCTTTGTTTTTTTTTTGAATAGCTGAATAATATCTACATATTCGTTTTCGCAATGTATCCGTGAAGACTATGTTATTTTTTGGCAAAATATTTAGAGTATTTCTCTTCGATTTTTATTACAAATTCTTATATGATCCTTTTGGAAAAAAAAGAACTAACATTTTGGTAAATTGCTGCCTGAAGAAATGTAATAAATATTAAACACTAATATAGAAATAAAACAAATATGAAAAACAACTTGAATAAAAATGGTTTATAAATTTTATTGAATTGGAATATATTGAATAATTTTATTCAACTTAAATGTTTATCAAATACACATATGTATTATTTAAATATATATTATTTAAATTCTTGACAAATTTAAAGAAAATTCTGGCGTGTTGATAAAGCATCGTAGAGAATTACATATGTATGTATATAAATTAAACATTTGCCAAACTTTAGAGATATTATATGAAATTTTTTTAAGTGTAACACGAGAGGCCTGGGAATGGCAACGAATTCATAAATCACCCACAACTAAACACACAGGACATTCATATCCACATTTATACACACGTGCGCGTGGGTGTGTTTGTGCATGTATTTTTAAAGAATAGAATCGTTTTTTTGTCGCAGTGCTTTGACGTCCCTTGTTTTGTTTTAATTTGCTGTTTGTTTGCCATTCACGGGTCGGCACATCGTTGCCGAATTTACTCGAGAACTACAATCAGGATATTGTCGCTCACGCTTCGCCCATTCTTGGGGTTAGCTGTGAAAAGTATACCGTTAAACTTATTGCGCTCACCTGTGCGTGAGCCGATAGTGGGAGCGTGAAGGGAATAGGCAGAGCATCGCCGAGCGAGGGGAAACCACTTTTCAAAACGAGCCAAAGCGAACGCTGGCCAAATATTTGCTTTGCGCCTGCCACAGGCTTGTGCAACATGCATGCATTTCCCGGCGTATTGTTTGCGCAAACACAATAACGCCATCGCACGAGCTGGAGGAGGCGGCCTTAAAAGCATTCTGCCAAATCTACCGTAGACATTGCTCCGCTCGAGCATTAAAGATGGGAACGCAACACAAATACTTAGGGGCCCATTTCAGAAATACTTAAGGGCTGCAGCCACTCGAAGACAAACAAAAGCACTTGGCCAACTATGTGAAATGGCGAAAAGGAAAAGCCAAACATGTTTGGCATTTCCTTGAGATTATTATAAATATTGGCTTAGGTGCGAAATAGGAGCCATTAAATAACAGGGGTTGGCTTTCCTACAGTCAGCAATAGCCCATCCATCATCGCTACAGAGGTGTCTGGGTATGCTTTCTTAGTAATCTGATACTCTTTCCTTAAAGAGATCAATATACCTTAACATTTCTTAATAATTAAGCTACTATAATAAACTAACTATATATAAGTATTTATTGGTATTTAATGGTATTAGGCATTACGGATCTACATAATCCATGTGAATAATACATATGTAAAGTAAACCCAATACTATTTTAATGCTTGGCAGTAAAAGTAAATAACAACATATAGTCTAACTTAATAAAAAATATAGTCAGCCAAGCAATTAACCCACAACTAACATTAGTGGTGCAGGTGCTGGTGCTGGTGCTGGTGGTGGTGCATTTTTTAACCGTGCTAAACCCATTAAACATGCTAACAAAAAAAACCGTATTTCACCTGTATCAAACCAGTATTTTCCATTGTCATTCTGTGGTGTTGGTCAACGTCGAGCCCATTGCGTCGAAAGAAAAACAAGAACAACAAAAAAAACCCACCCTATTAATTCGCAGGCCTGCAGCTGGCAGCTGGCGCTTCCGGTGACATCAACGGCGATGCCATGGAAACCTCGTCGTCATCGGAGCTGGAGTTCAGGTGCAGCACAGCGGGCACGTCGGGTCAGTCGCAGTACAGTGTCGAAGCGGATGAGTTCAAGCTTGTGTTTCTAAACTCGGACTCGTCATCCTCATGCAAAGAGGAGGAGGAGGAGGAGGACGACAACGATACAGATACCGCCTCCAGTTCCTCCTGCACCTCCACACACCAATGCCACAGCATTGTGAGCAATGTGGAGGACTGTGATTGGGACTACTTTGAGCCATCGATGATTGCAGCCACCACAACCACAACCACAACAATGATTGCCTATGCCGGCTCCCTGGCGTCCACAACGCCCACGCCGCCGCCACGCCTACGTCGTCGCTCCAGCGACAGCGACTCGCCCTTGCTGCAGCGCCGGCAGCAGCTCCTGCGCAGCTACTGCTCCAAGATACGCGAGAGCGACACCGGCACCGACGAGGAGCTGCACATGCACGCCGAGAGCAGCTCCCAGACCAGCTCCGATCAGAATCAGACACCGCCGACGCCCTCACTGCCGCTCAGCATGAAGGCGCGCATTAAGACGCGTTTCCTCAAGAGCCACCATCACTACCAGCACCACCACCACAGCCACAACCACGCGCCCAGCAGGTGCACTGGCTGCAGTGGAGCCACAGCCGCCCAGCAGCCGCAATATGTGCCCATTCCCGTGCCGGTGCCCATACCCGTGCCCATGGCCGCCTACCACAACTGGCAGCTGGAGCATTCGGGCGCACCGCTGCTGGAGCAGGACGAGCACTTGGCCGCCTCGCTGCAGCAGCTGTGGCAGGCGGCGGCAGCCGCTTCGTCCACACCAAACTCGCCGCAGCAGCAACAGCAACAGCAGCAGCAGCAACAACAACAGCAGCAGCAGGCGGCAGCCGCAGCGGCTGCTGCAGCGGCTATGGTCGCTTACTCGCAGCAATTCGCCGCGGCCAGCAACATGTTTGATGCAACACCGCCGGCAACCACCAAGAGCTATCAGCAATTGCCAACAACAACACGTCAATTGGATGGCGGGTTCAAGTCCTCGGCGCCGGAGCTGAGCGCCTCGCTGGGCTCGCTGATGACGCAGTCGCTGTGCTCCACTGCGTCCACGTCTTCATCAACAACGTCCGGCTATGGCACAGCAGGTCGTAGCCTGGAAACATTAGCCGGCTGTCTGTGTCTGGCACAACAACAGCATTACCAACAGCAACAACAACAACAACAGCAGCAGCAGCAGCAGCAGCAACAACAACAACAACAACAACAACTGGCCAGCCAAATAGCTTTCAAGCCAGCTCCAACAAGTTTAGGTTTAGTATTGCCGCGCACGCCGTCGGGTGAACAGCAACAAACGCGACGCTCGCTCTGTGACGATGCTGATGCCGATGTTGACGTCGCCGCAACGCCCACAACAGCACTGAGATTGTGTAATGCGAATGATAAAAGAAGCAGCGATTGCGACTGCGACTGCGACTGTGACTGCGAGAACGACACGCGCAACAGCGTTAAATTTAGCGCACATGTTGATGTTGATAAAAGCGAGGCAATGCCAGCGGCAACATTGACAGTCGAGCTGCCAAATAAATGCCAAAATCTATGCGAAACTGTGCAAAACAACAGACAACTAGCGACAGCAGCAGTCCCAGCAGCAGCAGCAGCAGCTCAAGCACCAACAGTACCAACAGCAGCAACGGCAGCACCAGCACCAGACACACAAACACAAACAGCAACAGAAAACACAGAAACAGAAAGACAAACCTACCTGGCGAGTAACAACCACAACGCCGCCGACGACGATGACGACGGCGACGAAGGCGAAGCAGCGGAGGCAGCAGACGAAACAAATATACATAAAAATCAAGTACCAGCAACGGCAGCAACAACAACTACAACTACAGCAAGCGGAGCCACATTGAGTGCGGCAACTCCTGCGGTAATAACTCGTTTCAGCGACGGCCAAGTTGCAGTCGAAAATGTTGAGATTGTTGCCGCCGTTGCGCCTAGAGAGCAACAATTGCAGCAGCAGCAGCAACAGCAACAGCAGCCACTAGAGCCTCAACTAGCAAAGAATTCGCATAGGCTTATAAATACAAAATCCACAAATATGTCCGAGAACGAGCCAAGTGAGTCGGCGACATTTGGCCATTTGCGCAGCGAAAGCTACGCCGCCAACAGCAGCAGCAGCAGCAATAGCAACAGCAGCAGCAGCAGCAACAGTGAAGCTGAAGATGAGCGCAGCCCACGCAAATTGGTGGAGCGCAGCTACGATGTGGCTCTGGCCATGCAGGCAGAGGCAGCAGCGGAGGAGGAGCTGCAGCTGGAGCCACAGGCGGCAGCCGTGCCCATGCAAATGGTGCACCACAGCACCACCGAAGGCAGCAGTAGCAGCAGCAGCAGTGATTCCAGCAGCAACAGCAGTTCCAGCTCCGAGTCATGTGACTCGGATGACACCGGCACCGTGGCGGATCGCCGGCCCAAGCGAAGACGCTTTAACAAGGTGTTTGTGGTCAACCGGCAGGTGGGCCATGCGGCACGTGTGCGACGCAGCTCATCCACAGAAGGTGACTCGTTATCCTCCTCGGATGCGAATCTCGAAGATTCATCGGATAATGATACAGATACAGAGCGCACCGAGTGTGGCATTGTGCTCAACTATGTGAAGGCATTGGCCGAGGAGGAGGCGGGCCCAGAGGAGAAGCCATTGGCTGCTGCAGCACGTGATGCCAGCGACGATGATGATGATGATGAAAGTGAACGCCGCATTGCCAACTCAAGCGATGAGCTCGCCAATTGCATTGTTGTTGTTGGCGGCTGCACCGACGACGATGCCAATACCGGCGGCGTTGTCTTGCATGGGATGCGTGCTCTGCCAGACGTTGCAGAGGAGCAGGAGCCGCAGCAGCAGCAGCAGCAGGAGCAATTAGAGCACAACATTGAGCAGCCATTCGAAATAAGCGCCGTCCTGGCTGCCTGCGATGAGCTCCATAGCATTTCCAACGATGTGAATCGCTTGCTGGCGCTGCACAAGCAAAACTCCCAGTTGGAGCTGAAGCTGCAGCGACTGCGACGCGGCGTCGCCGAAATCAATGAGGATCATCTGCTGGCAGCGCACAGCACTGCTGCGGCTGCCGCCCCCACGGAACAGAAGCCAAGCGAGTGCAGCAGTCAAATGCTAAAAGGGTGTTCAGGTAATGCACACAAAGCGCAAAAGAAGGAGGAGGAGGAAGCGGCACAACCAACAGCAACGACAACCCTCGCGCTGACCATTTGCCGTTCTCAGAAAAGCGTAAATGTAAATTCTAATGACGAAAGCGAAGCAGCGAAACAAAGCGAACCAAGCAACGCCGAGGGTAAACATGTAAGCGAAGAAGCAGAGGCGCAAACACAAGAAGCAGAGACAACAGAGGCAGCGACTCTTGGGTTTTCATGCCAGCAGAGGCAGCAGGTAAAAGCAAACAGCGATAATAAAGTAGCAGCCAAGCAAACAGCAACAACAACAGCAAAGGCAACGACTAGCGTCGAGCGAACAGCTGTGCAAACCCAGGCAATGGGAGAGGGCGAGGCAGCGGGCGGCGGCATACGCAGCGAAGCATGCAAAATAAACGACGATTTGTTCGACTCGCTCAACTCTCACTCTCTCGCCATAACGAGTAAAGCACCTGAAGCACAACAGAAACAGCAACAGAAACACAAACAACAACAACAAGAGAAGCAACCACAGCAGCAGGTAGCTGAGAGAGCGACAGCTGCTGAGCGTAAAGAGAGCGCGCTACCTGTTGCTCAGTTAGCCGATTGCGCAGCCGAAGTGAAGTCGCAGTCGGCATTGGAAACGGCAGAGGCAGCGGCAGCGGAGTCAGTCGAAAATGAAATGTTAAACGTTGCGGTTGAAGAGCCAAACGCGCGCCTAACGCTGTACACTAACAAAAACAACAACATTGGCAGCAGCAGCAACAACAATAATAATAGCAGTAGAAACAGCAACAACAACAATAACGACGACGACGCCGTTGGTCATAATGACGGCGATTTCGCAGCACAAAAGACAGAAAGCAGCAACAATGCTGCTCTTGTTGTTGGCCAACATAGCAGCAGCAGCAGCAACAACAACAACAAAAATTGTGACGTAGTGAATGTGAATGTGATTGAAGCATCGTCGCGTGTGTTTGAAAGTTGTGAAAACGAATACGACAAAATATTTGGCAGTAATCAAGAACTGCAAATCAACAACGAGCCAACTGCAGCTGCAATAGCAGCAGCAACAAATAAAACAACGACAACAACAGCAATAACAACAACAACAACGGCAAGTGCTGCACCCAAGAATTCACTTTCAGCTAAATATCGCAGCTTAGTGATGATTACAAAAGACAATGAAAGCCCAACAATAACAACAGCAGCAGCAGCAGCAACAACGAGTAGCGACAACGATTATGAAATGCCAGCGATTGGCAGCAGCAGCAGCACCAGCACCAGCAACAACAGCAACAACTTTGGCCAGAACTTTGGCAATGAGTCACACGTTACGCTGCGCGCCTTAAGCAACGACATCGATTTCAGCGCGGAGCCGTTGACAGTGACGCCAACGCCAAGTGAATGGGAACTGTCGCGTGACTCGTACAGTGTGGACTCCCTAAATGAGCCGAGTGCACGGCCAAAGATCATTCTGGACGATGGCCTGGCCGACGACGACTCCTGGGTGGAGGAGCTGAGTCAACGCGGCGATGGCGACGAGGATGAGAACTTGAGCAATGCCACGACAACGCCGACAGCCACCGATTCTGAGGATGCGGATGGGGATGGTGAGCTGGGCGGCGGTCGCATCATGTACATGGATCGGGAGGAGGAGCTGCGCGGCTATAACCGATCGGCCATCGACTTCACGCTGCACACCATTGTGGAGGAGAGCTGCGAGGAGAGCGAAGTTGCCTCCATGCGTGCTGACAACGAGCTGGAGCAGGAGGAGGAGGAGGAGGACTTGGCGGAACGTAGACGCATGCGCACGCTGCAGCATCATCATCGGCTCAGCGCCTCGGAGCTGGAGAAGTATTTCTTCTTCGGTTTGGGCGATGGCAAGGTCATGAGCTCCATAGACACACGCGGTGATGATACCGCCTCGGAGGTCAGTTCCGAGTGCTCCGAGAGTCTGGACTCGCTGCCCCACGACGATCAGCTGCTGGATGGCAGCAATAGCGCCGCAGACTTGGCTTCATCACGCTTAGAAAAGTATTTCCTCTCCGGCTTCATGGGCTTCAGCGGCTCCGGCGAGAAGCAGGCGGAGAGCGATGAGAGTGGCGGCAGCGTGGGCAGCGACAGCGAGGGACATCCCAGTCCCAGTCAGCGGCGCAAGCGACTTGTACGGGCGCGCGGCACTCCACGCAGCCACAACTCCTCGCTGGATAATCTGCTGCTGCCAGAGGCGGATGCACTGGATGCCACTACAACGGCAGCCGGGGCTGCGGAGGACACATCCGAGTCGGAGACCGGCTGCGACGACACCGTCGTGCACATGGCCAGCGCTGTGGATCGTGCCTCTGACGGCAGCTCCTCGGACACCATCAAGCGCAAGAAGCAGCTGCGGAAGCGGCACGACTCCCTCGATGAAAAGAAGCTGCACGAGGCGGCAGATGCGTGTGCCACAGGAGCCGGCGGTGCCATCGGAGGGGACTCTCATGCCAACAACCTCGGCACTGCCCAGGCAAAGAAACAGCAGCATCACAGCCGAGACAGCGGCTTTGTGGGCAGCAACGACGACCTATTGAAGTCGCCCGACTGCGAGCCCAGCAAGTCTCCCACGCCAACTCTGGGCCAGATCAGTGAGGACCGCGAGCCGTTGGCCCCAGCCAGCGCGCTCAGTCTGCCCAAACTGGAGCTGCCCAGCACGAGTGCAGGAGCCGCCGTCAGCGCGACGCGACGCATCACTCTGCAGCCACCGGGCGCGGGTGGAGCCAGCAGCTCCATTTTGGTGCGCAAGGATAGCTTCAACAACTGGAGCTCCGATGAGGAGACCAATCTGATGATGACCAAGATGCGTCAGTTCTTCAAGACGCTCATCGTGGCCACAGCCAATGCACAGCAGAGCCAGTGCCAGAGTCAGAGCCAATCCCAGAGCCCGAGTGCTGGCAGCACGCCGAGCTCAGTGCGCCGGCTGGCAAGCAAGTCGGCCAAGTCCAGGCCGGCACAGCTGGCCTACTTCGAGAATGAGCTGACACGCCTCATGAAGACTGTGCCGGGCATCAATGATGAGCAGGTGCGCGAGATTGTCGAGTATCTGAGCAGCGAGGATACCTGGTCGGACTCGTACGACTCCTCCGACTATACCAGCTCGGACCTGGAGGGCTCCGAGCACAAGGGGCAGCTGAAGGCGCAGATCTCCGCCAGCTGCCAGCAGATAATCAACAAGTTCGAGGTGGACGAGGAGGGAGTGCGAGGCGATGGAGGTCTGCTGGACGAGGCGCATGCGCTGAATGGCGATACGGCCTTTGTCTACCAAAAGCTGGTGGCCTCCTTCAGCAAGGTGGCAGTGGGCGAAGCCAGCGAAGCGGCGCCCAATGGCAGTGGCAAGGCAGTGGAGCCCGATGAGGATCGCCTGTCCACAACCAGCACGGAGCAGCGATCGCCGCAGCTGTTTGCCAAGGTCATGCAGCACATAGGAACCCGCCTGGTGGCCCTGATGCACGAGGTGAGCAGTGGCAATGAGACGCCCATGTCGACGCGGCACACTCGCCGTGCGCAGGCCAAGATCTCGGCCACGACAACGGAGGATGAGGAGGACGAGGTGGAGCAGCAGCTGCAGCTGAAGGCGCTGCCACTAAAGCAGCTGAAGCTGCGCAGCCGTTCGCATGATTTGCTGCTGGATGGCGGCGCCAACAGCGGACAACAGGCACAGCTCCATGGACACATGACCGTCAATGCGACGGTGGGTCATCAGCAGGCAGGAGCCACGGGCACCGGAGCCGGCGACAATGCCGGGGAGGAGTGCGGCGTGGCCAGCGATTATGAGCGCTTCTCGTGGCGCGGCAGTTTTGAGTCGGCATTACTGGCTAATGGCGACTCCAGAACGAGGCTCAGCCAGCTGAGCCAGCTAGACAGGGACAACTCGTCGTCTGCGTCCGCTTTGGCTGTGGCAAAGCGCCGATCTGCAGGCGACCTGCTGTTCAGCCAGCACCAGCAGAGCCTTAGCCGCGAGCAGCTGGATCGCGTGCGCTCCTGCGGCAGCATTGGCGGCGGCGATGCCCACCACCATCAGCTGGAGGCATCGCCCGCCAAGCCTTGGCTCTCGTCGGCCAGCTCCTGCGCCGATTCCGCCAAGGATGTACGCCGCTCCAGTGTGCCCGATGCCATCTACGAGACGGACTCCAGCGACGAGGGGCAATCGGCACAGTTTACCGCCAATCGCTCCACCTTGCCGCGCAGCCTGACGGGCAGCGTTCCAGTGGCTAGCACCAACTCCCTGCCACGCCTGCCCACCAGCTCGGTGGCGACGGTGGGCGCGCCTTTCACCAGCACGCCCATCACCAAGTCGCAGAACGCGCTCAACTATACGCCCTCGTCCACGGGCAGCGCCAAGAGCGCACGTTACCGCTCGCCGGGATTGGCCGCACGTGCTGCAGCCGCCAACAGCAGCGGCGCAGGAGGCGTTGGCTCCGCCAGCTCCTCCAGCAGCTGTGGCAAAAAACTAGGCGGCGGTCTGCAGCAGTTCCTCTACTCCAAGCGTGATGCACGCAAACGCCTGAACATGTCAGCGGGTGAGTTTACCAAAGCCTTTGCCAAACTATCTGGCAAATAGAATACACACACACACACACACATACACACACATAGCCACACTTACACAGGAAAAGGTCACATAGAGGGTTAAAATGCTGCAAATGTTTAGCATTTCTGAGATGCTTACCTATCCACATAGCGATTAGCCTCCCAGAAGTGCCTGAGCCATGCCTCAAATGCCAACGAGGCGCCACATTTGGACACGTTCAGCAGCAGAGAAAATTCCAGTCAGTGGAAAGGCGTTAACCAAGTGATAAATTGACTTATTTGAACAGAGTTCACAAACTACAACCAAAGGGGCAAGCACTCGAGTCAATAGTAGCTGAAGATTTAACGAACTCTGTTCCGTTTACTCCGAATGAAATATAACTCGCATTTCTTTAAGCCGAACTAGTGAGTGGAGCAAATAGAGTTGTATGCGATTCTATGTAGTCTCTTTGAATGTTCTTAGAAGTAAAAGCCAAGATACTCTATATATAAACGCCGAAGGTGAGCGCGATATTACGATTATTATATCATGCAACCTTATACACTATTTTATATAGTTCTTCTTCTATCATTTATATATACACAACAAGCAAGCAACTGTAGGCCATTAGGTCTTGAATGCATTTGCCCTCTGCTTAGAGTCGGTCATATAATAATAATTCCCCTACTATGTCGATATATTTGACTTATAAAGCATGATATACCTACATCTATAGGAGAGCTAGAATAGTATTACAGCGAAGGAAGAAAACTCAAATACATTTTCTTCGCAAAGAAGAAGAAGACCAAGAAATTTGTGTATATATAATATATGGGACACATAGAATGGTATAGTCGTATTCCCTTACTGTATCAGTATATGGATGTATATTTAACTTAATAAGCATTCATGTATATACCTGATATACCTATATAGGAAAGATGGAACAGTATAATAGTAAAGGAGTAAATCTCTAATATTTTTACTTCGCGAAAAAGAAATGTATTTATATATAATATTTCATATTTACTCATATAAAATAGTATAGTAGTATAATAGTGATAGCATAGTAGTAAAAAACTATGTATGTATAACTATTCCAAAGTATGAATAGTAAAAGTAGTCAGACTAGGCAATCGAATAGTTTTCCCTGCCATGGAATTTCCATCCACAACTGTATCTCTGTCTGGTCACGCTGAGCACCTTTTCATTATGATGTGTGCTTTAGGCCTCCGTTTGTAACAGGTATTCGTCGTCTGCTTTGCTCTCGGCCATCTCTAACGCACTGCAGAAAAGAATTTCATGTGTGCTTTTTTATTTGTTGGCCAACTATAGATAGGCTCGCGGCGCTTTTGTCCAAAATCAACTCAATCAAGGTCAATTAACTGTATCCATATTAAGCGCTCTGCTCTGCTCGTTGGCTGTCTGCCAGCTAAAGTTAAAGCGATTTTCGCACACCGCCAACTGTTGCTGTTGCTGCTGGTGATGCCAGTTCCGCTTGATGGGGGCGTATGTTGTTAGTGTCGTTGTGGTTGTTGTTGCTGTTGTTGTTGCTGTTGCTTGTTTTACCTATTTATTAGTTGGCCAAAAATAAAGCCGTTTTGCGGCTTGGTCAATGAAACTCGAACTTGTACTCCAGCCCGAACCTTGTGTCAGGCACGCAGGCGGGGCTTTGAACTCTGCTTCAATTGTTTTCAGCCCTAGGTATGGGCGCGTGAGTGAGCGTGAGCTGCCACGCACACAATGCAGCTTTTGAATAATTATGCGAACCGAAACTAATTGACATTCCGCCCATAAATTACGCAACTCCAAAATTCTGCAGAATTCAGTGCGCTTATGAATTGTAATTGAATTTACGACAAATTAAATTTCTCTGGTGTTTTAAATTTCAATTGAAAGGCTTTTGTGTCATGTTTGCTTGCGCTTTATCTATATAAATAATACCGGAAAGTCGCAGATTATCTATTTGTTAACGTACTTAATCTCAGTTGCAGCAGATGCAGATAAGCTGATGCACTAGAAGCTATTTTAAAGTAATTCGGATTTCTTGGTAGCTGAGCTCGTCTTTACGGATTCTGCGTAGTAAAAGTTGGTAGATTAAAATGGATGGATTAAAATACGTGCCGTGTCACGCGCTCCTCCCTAATGTAAATAAGCCACTCCGACTCACGCTTTGACTGCTTTTGTTTTGCTGTTTAAACAGCTTTGTGTAACCAAATCATTTTGGTTGTTGTTGTTGCTGCTTTTTTCTGCTTTTTTTTTGGCAGTTTTACCAGAAAATAAACACAATTATACGCCTGGCCAGTGGTTCAATGGATCTGCGGCTGGTACTGAAACCGAATCTGAAGTCCACTCAATGTCTGCGCACAATATCATTTAAGCTCTCGACGTTGATAAAGTGTTTTGCCTGCTTATTTCCTGTTTGCCATGCGATTATTTGCTCTTTTGCATACAATAATTAATGTTTTTGAACCCGCGCTGACACCAACAGCGAATAGGCAACTGGCAACAGAATTTCGAGTGGGTTTTCGTGCTTGGCTGACTGCACCACTGTGCACACTGAGCACGGAAGAGTGTTTGGCCATCCGGCATTCGAACTGCAGCGCTTAAAACTATTTGCATGCACACACTTACATATATTTAAATGGCAAGTGAGGCATGCCGCATGCCACAAGCCATTTCACACTCATTATGGGATTATTGTTGCGGAAATGGCCGGGCACCCTGTTATGCGGACACCCTGTGCCGCCGCAAGACACACCCGTTATTCGTGGCGCTTGTAATCAAATTAACCCCACGAGCAGATCAAATATGGCCGTCTCTGTTGCACTCGCTGGATGCCAGCAGCTGGAATCATTTCGTTAATTGCACTTCCATTGGCGCTGCGACAGATGGCGACCTCTGCCCAGCGAGAGTTCAATATTTCAATAATTGAATAAAACTTAGATTTGCGTAGAATTGCTCAAGATGTGGTCGAATTCTTCTGAGTGGAGCTCAGTTATAGCGCTACGCTTAACGGCACTTGATCGCGACGCGCTCCATAACCCCCAACCGAAACCAAAATCGAAATTGGAATTGAAATCGCTTCAGTTTTCTTCCAAATATTTTTAAATAGCTCTGCACTGACTCCATAAGTCGGAACGTCCGACAATTCGCTGTGCTGAAGTGAAAGTGTTTAATTTTTGTTGTGTTTATTTTCTCGTTTTCGTTTTCGGTTTTTATTTATTTAAAGTTGATTTCCAACGCTTTTGGCGCTAGCCCCACTTATGTATGCCGTCGTGCAAGCGGAAATTATGAAAAGTTCCATAAAACACAAAAGTCTAAAGCCGAAAACATTGTCAACAAATCGTGACTGCATTCAGGAAATTTTCTATACCCCGCAAACAGGCAACAAAACAACAAAAAAAAACTTATGGCCGTAGTAAAAATTCATAATTCCAGACGAAATATTTTTATTTTCGGAGCGTTATGCGACCCAGTTTTTTTTTTCGCCATTAGTAATTTGTTTGTTTTGCCAAGCCTTCAATTCTCAACATTTCATAGCCCAATTACGGCCATTAGCCGACTGCGAGGGTATCTAATTGCGGGCACAATTCAAGGCCGAGGCAAGTTCAAGTGCGATTTGCCATAATTTCAATTGAATTAGAGCGAACACCTTGAGCTCACTTCCCAGTGGTTGGCCAGCCACAACGTATTCGTGCTTCAGATAGCACACATTGAAAATTCTGAACCAAATTACGTGTCAAAATTTCCCCAGTTCCCCTGCATTATGTTTTGCTCTATTTTTTCTTCGCTTTGCTGGAGATTGCTTATCGCCTCGCGCAGTTCGTTATCAGAGCTCATTGTGAGTCGATAAATGCGACAATTTGAGCAGCTGTTGCTGTTGCTGTTGCCAAATGCAATTAACTTTTTAAGAGCAGCGAAAACTAGCAAAACAAGCGCAGCTGAGCTGGGCAAGAGTGCACGACTGGCAGATACTCTGCATTGTCAGAAGTTGTTTAATTTCTAGATCACTCGAAAGAATTTGGCAATGTTTTCTTTTGACAAATTATATAAATGAATGTTTGTTAGTTATATACATACCTTAATCTTCGTGTCATCTCCCACCTCTGTCGATCTTGTTGTATATATAGGGTATGCTAGAAATTGAGGCTAGACTTTTCTCAGTCAGAAAAGCGACATCAATTAATGGCCGATCCGTTCAATTATAAAACTCATAACGTCGATAATGAGAAAAGTGACGCGCTTAATTGGCAAGCGGGGCAACAATAAAACGCCCAAGGCTTCCGCCGGCTACAATGAGTTTGTGCGTCCGTCCAGATCGAAGCCGCCAACAGCTGCCATTGTGAGTGTGCACAACTATGGCAAAGCCGTTAAGCCGACGTCAACGGGTGTGGAGACCAATCCTGCTGCCGCCCAAATACAATATGCTGCACTCAATCGTTTGCGCAGCAGCTGCAGCAGCAGTCAAGCCCAGGCCACGCCCACTGGCCAGACAAAGCCGCGTTGGCTGCGCCTTTGCCGCTGCTGGCGCAGGCGACGGCGACGCCAACGCAGCTACAAGAGCTATTGGCGTAGCGGCGGAGCCGCCAAATCGAAATGGAGCTGGTGGCTGCACTGGGGCAACTGCTGCGGCCGACGCCGAGGGGGAGTGGGCGGCTATCACTGCGACTCCGAGGAGGAGGAGGATGACATTGATGCCAAGGTCGCAGCCTACATACTCGAGATGAAGCAGCGCGAGGCCTCGGCCAGTGGCAGCAGGCAAAGTGAGCAAACGGCTGAGACCGACTTTAATCAGGCAACAGACGAGGCGGCAGCGGCTCGCCCAGAGCGCAGCAGCAGTGCCCCACCCCAGTCACAGCGCCAGCAGCAGCAGCAGCAGCAGCAGTTGCAGCCATCCATGTGCCAGGCGCAGATCAAGCGTCGCGCTTGGACCTGGGATGACAGCCTGCGCTCCAACTCGGATCGTTTCCTTGAAACGCTCGAGGAGGACTTGCCTGCTGCGACTGCTACGACTGCTGCTGCTGCTGGGATGAGGCTGTCGCTGAATCTGCAGCGCCGCACGCCGCTCCATGTGACGTTTCAGCAGGTGCAAGGTAGGCGGCACTGCTTCATCTGCCTGCCCCACCTGCCACCCCGTTGCATGCAACCAACTGACGCTTGCCTTCCACTGAATCATTATTTCGTTTTCTCAATCATATCGACTCTGAGTGTGCGTGTGTGTGTGTGAGAGAGAGAGATAGAGAGAGACTGTTGACTGGCTCGTTAATTGTAATTGAGGAAATGTCTAAAATACCATTTATTTTCTGCATCCACAGAGGAAGCCCGAGCAGCTGCCGATGAGCTCAGCAAATCTCCGGTTATTGGACAACGCAATCCGGATGCCGCTGCCTCCAGTCCGATACAGTCGCGTGCCTCGAGCGAAACATGGCCGGCCCAGTCGGATGAGGATATCGATCGTCTGGTGGCCATGCACCAGAATCGCAGCAGTTTGAGTTCCCTAGGCGTAAGTAAAACTGCCAGCAAATGCAAGCAGCTCCTTTACTCTCTGTTCGGACAGGTGCGCTCGGAGTCCATGGCCAGCGTTTATTCGGGCGCCGGCGAGGGTCGCTATGGCACTGTGGTGGTCAAGGGTCAGGTGGAGTTCGGCATGCAGTACAACTATAAGCTGGGCGCCTTGGAAATTCACGTGGTGCGGTGCAAGGACTTGGCTGCTGTGGATGCCAAACGCAATCGCAGCGATCCCTATGTCAAGGTAACAACTCAAAGTGCTGCTCAGTCATTTGAGTATATTTATTTATCATTTTCCTTGTGCTCTCTGCAGGTTTACTTGCTACCCGACAAGTCGAAGGCCGGCAAACGCAAGACCAAAGTCAAGAAGCACACACTGAATCCCATCTTTGACGAGACGCTGCGCTTCCACACGTCCATTGCCAGCCTGGAGTCGAAAACTTTGTGGCTGACCGTTTGGCACTCGGACATGTTTGGACGCAACGATTTCCTGGGCGAGGTCAGCGTCAATCTGCAGGGCCGTCTCTTCGACAATCCCCAGTCGCAGTGGTACCTGCTGCAGGAGCGCGTAAGTGGACCTCTCATATCCGTAATATTCCCTCAAGTCTAATCGATTCTCATCTGTAGAGCGAGCCATTCGATGATGTGGCCACCTATCGCGGCGATATTGTTGTGGGTCTCAAGTACATTCCGCCAGAGAATCTAAAGTCTTCGTTATTCTCGCGTGGCTCCAGCCTCACAGGCAGCTCCTCGAATCTGCGCAAGTTTGGGGGCAGCATCAAGTCGGTGACCTCCAAGTCCGATCGCAGCGCCAAGGGCGGACAGCTGCACGTGCTGGTCAAGGAGGCCAAGCACCTGAGTCCCATCAAGACCAATGGCACCTGCGATGCCTTCTGCAAGAGGTGAGTGTGCCACAGTTGCTATAAGCCGGAGCTCACTCTAATCCTTTGTGTCCTTTAGCTACCTGCTGCCGGATCGCACGCGCAGCTCGAAGCAGAAGACGCCGGTGGTGAAGCGCACTTTACATCCCAGCTGGAATTATACGTTTGTCTATGAGGACGTCTCCCTAAAGGATCTGTCGGAGCGTGCTCTCGAGCTGACCGTCTGGGATCACGATCGCCTGGCCAGCAACGAGTTCATTGGCGGCATACGCTTCTCCACGGGCACAGGTGAGTGTTGGCAACAGCTAGCATAATTTCCCCCCTTACTTACTCACTTTCTCTGCCAACAGGTCGCAGCTATGGTCGGCAGGTGGATTGGATGGATGCTACCGGCAAGGAGGTATCTCTGTGGCAGAATATGCTAGACCGTCCCAACTTCTGGGTGGAAGGCAGCGTAGTGCTACGCTCCAGCTTGGATGGCATACGCTCGACATTGCCATAGGCACAGTTCCCGTCACAATTTGCACATTAGTAATTTATTGCCTAGCCACGCCCACACAAGTACACTCACACACAAACACACGTATACAATTGTGTGGCAGTTGCCCGTTTTCTCCCCTGGCTTGCGAATACGTAATGTGTATTTGTATTTGTATTGTATTTGTATTTGTATTTGAATTGTGTTGAATTGTATTGATAATGTAATAGGTATTACATAATAGGGTACGATGACAAGCATTACTAGGAACTTAAGCATGAATGAAATTCATAGTTCGATTCGATTCGATTCGACTCGGAGTCATTCGTTTGCGAATCGATCGATTGAATGATTCAAGTTTGATTTGCAAGTTTATAACAATTAGAATGATTTCCAATACTCGAATATATGGCAGTCAGACATACATACATACATAGCACATGTAAAGGTTTATGATTATGGTGTGTCTGACTGAAGGCCAGACATCAGCATTAGCACTAGCAGTAGAGATAACGCTGCAATTTATCTGTATTGTTTTTCTAGTTTAAGCGGCACAATGTTCAAATACGAAAAACCAACAAGCAAACTAACAACTAAAGTGTTATCAAATTATTGCACTACTTATAAGAGGGTCATAACCCAGAAGATACTATAAATCGTATGGCAAACACGCGGATTGCTCAGTAAAATGACGATGATGGAGTCGATTGTCGACGTCGACAAATTAGCCCATATACATATGCATGTACATGTACATACACATGTGTGTATATATATACAAATATATATATTTATATATATATATATATATATCGATATACGCTAACTTAGGATCATTTGTGTGTGTATTTTTTGTCCAAAAACAAATGGAACTTGCAATTTTGCATACTGTATGCATTAAATCTACGATAATAACTAAACCGACATAAACTTTAAGCTATGTAATACATAATATGTACTAGTACCTATACATATATATATATGAAAAAAAAAAGAAAAACATAATCGAAAAATACAAATAACAATGTTTTTGTAAATGCAACATTTTTGTTTTCGTTTCTACAACTTTTTGATTTGCCAACACTTTTTCTAGCTCTTAAGCAAACGTCATATTCATATTGACATGAACGTATACATATATACACACATATATTATATCAATCCGGACTTCAAGCATATCGCAAGCACAGTGCAACTAACTAAGTCAACTCAGCTAAGCTTCATAATACCATATGAATACCCGACTACTTCATCAGATACCCACCAACTAAATAGCAGCCAAAAGTAAAAGAATATATACTATAAAGTCAAATCATAAGATATAAATACAATCTATATGTCACTCTCCCTCCAACCTCTTGTTGCTAAAAATCTATTTGTTGTGGAACTTTTATATTCACAATATACATGCATACTTACACACATACATATATGCCTATATGTGTATGTAATAGATATGAAATACTTCGAGGCAGCTCTTTAAGGCGTTCGATTATACTACAATACAAAATTGTTGGAAATATATATACATACATATATATATAAATCAAGAAAAAAAGAAATTTAATATATATATAAAAAACGAATCTTATGAATGCTTTTTGTGTAAGTTTACATTGAAAAAACCTACAAGCATACAAATAATAATGTTGAATGAATCTTAAAAAAGAAAAAAAAAAAACAAACAAAAAATTTATAGGAAATGTTTTTTGATAAATGAAAATTGCTGAATCACTCGTTGCCTAAATACCGCTTGTCTTTTATACTCAATGTTTTCGAAACACACACACACATACTCACACACACACACATACACGCGCGAAATTGGATGATAATGAACCCACAGGGATTTAACGGTTTGCTATTATATAATATTGAGATATTTATATGGTATATTACAAAAATGTGGGCATTACAATTTTCTCAAGATCAACAACAGCATCACATGATATAAAATCAAACAATAAGCAGCAAAAATTGCAAAACAAAATTTAATGAAAATAAATGGTATTTAGTGGCATATTATAGAGTATTAGAACTTACAAAACTCCTGAAAATAATCGGAAAAAAACTTAAAAAAAAAAAACAAACATTTAAAAATGGTTAAAAAACAAAACATAATATTAAATTGTTGACAGCCTAATTATATGGAAATAGTTAATACTATCGTTTACACACAAGTAGTTTGTTTCTCATCTCGAATGTTCAATGTAGTGCTTAAAATATATCTATATATTTTTTTACTTTAGCCCTAGCTCCCAAGGCAGGATAGACGATCAGTCCTACTCTAACTTGACATCTAGCCAATACTCAACTTAAGTTAGGCTCATAAATTGTGAATTGTGTTTTAACAATTTATAGCTATTCGACTACTAGACTATTCGACTATTTCACACTCAACTCACTACTCACTCGCATGGTGCTATTAACTCCTCGTATTTACTCCGGAGTATCCAAAAAAATCATGAGAAATCTTTTTACCTTTTTACTGTTTACGCATTTTTTGGATTCAAACTGAACTATTGTGAACTAGAGTTTATTAAATGGAATATTTATACTACAATCCTACAATATATATACACATATTATGAGAAAACATAGTCAGTTATATACACCTATACATAATATATATAGGATATATATATCTATATATATACAATAAAAGAGTAGCAAGAAGTAAAGTAGTAATAAGCGAATACAAACTGTTATATGACTTGGCATTAACTTACCAATTTGAGAAATTCTTTCGATAGATCTGAAGAGATTAGGTCTCCGCTTGATTGCCGAAAAGAAACTCATCTTAAATTAACGTATATCATGAATTATTTATGTACTATTTGACAGCAATTGCAAAGAGTGCTCAAATTTAGCAATTAAGATGTAAGAATACTTGAAAGAAATCAATCAGATTATACATATATACAATATAATATATAAAACATGTTGTGTTAATATACAAAAGAAAACAGAAAATAGTTTTTGTGGAGTACATCCAACACAAATTAGTGTTACATAGTTTATCATGCAGAATTGGGATATGGAAATTAGCACAGTTTTGCTCCAATCCTGAAACTGATGTGATCGAAAATACTTTAAGTGGTACTTTAATATTGGCGCGGTTAGGGGTATTCACGATACCAGAGTTAGAAATATGAAAAACATTTGTTTGCGTTCATTGAGATCAAACATTCGTTTTGAATGAGGTATCTCTTATAAGAGATGTAGTTTGTGCACAGACAACAAGTTTTTAGATCATACAAATTGTATTCGGCTGAGAGAAAATAATATTTGGGGCATGCTTCGGCTTAGAAATGAATCGCATGGTTATTAGAAAATCCATTTAATGACTTTACTATATTGGCATCCAAAAATGTTCAAGAGAAGCATGAATACATTTACACGAATATATATTTCCCACAATCTCTGCCCTGGATATTACACCTAGACCTAAGTTAAGGCTAGTACGGCCCAGACTTTATAAGTTTTTCCAATGAGAGTTTCAAACAGGGCTAAGCGATATCTATTTTGTACTTTGTAAGACTTTCTCTAGCTCTTAAATAAAATGCAAAACACAAACAGAACTAAATATGATGAAAAAAAAACAAAGAAAAATCTTTAAAAATGATGCCGTTACATTTATGGCATATATGAAGTTAAATGCAAATGTTTACATACTCTTTTAGGAGTACATGCCCTATGTACACTTTACTCATACCTATGTAAGCAATCACGACAGGATTACAAAGTTTACATATACAAACAAAACTCTCTTTCTCTATTTATATATGTGAATATATATATATAAATTAATATTATGTTGAATACTGTGACCCAGAATCAATCAAATAAATTTCTCATCTACTGACAACTTTCGGAACTAAAATGTGTGTGTGTTTGATATCTAATACTTTGGCGTTTTAAATACATATAGGTATGCATATACATATATACAGGCTGGCGAGAGGGCTAGTTTACGCTTCCGCTTCCGCATCCGCGTCCGCTTCCGTTTCCGGTGAGGTATTTCGACGCGCGCCATTAAGTGCGTTTAACTTGAGCTCCTCAGCGGGTTGCTTCAGCACATCATCGTCCCGAGCTCGCCAGCAATCGAAGGACAGCATAGACTCGCCCTTGCCAAAGGCCTCGCCGTCCTCCAGCGTAATGGGCAGTTGCCTAGGGGACGACAGTGTTACAGGTGTAATTCTCGACTTATGCTTGGCCCACTCACCTATTGTTCGTTTCCGGCAGCAGCAGCGATAACAGCGCCGCAGTCAGCAGCAACGCGGTCAGAATGAACGATGGCCCCGCTGCCCACCTGGTGCCCAGGTGTATGAGGTAAGGTGAGGTGACCGAGGCCGCCGCAGCGGCCAAGTGTGCTGTGGCTATGCCACGGGAGCGCACACAGGTGGGCAACAGCTCGGACGAGTACTGCGAGAAGGTCGTGTAGCATATCGAGATGCCCAGTCTTGTGGGCATCGCAAAGGCCAGCAGCAGGGAAGCATTTAACTGGACACTTTCGAAGGATTGGCACACGCCCAGGGCGCAGGCCAGCAGGCTCGTGCCAGCCAAGGCCACAAAACAGGTGGCCTTGCGGCCCAGGCGACTTTGCATGAGGCCCTGCAGAAATCCAGAGGGTGGCACCACCACAGCGAACAGCGAGAAAACCACAAATGGCGACATGCCCAGGCCCTCCACATTTCTGGAGATGGTGTTGAAGCTCAGGGAGGTCAGCATGCTGCGGATAAATGTGAACTGGCTGACTAAAATACGCACTTTCCCGACGACTGAGAGCAACTCACAAGGTGAAGATGATAATAAGTGCAGTCCTCCGCAGGTGTGGAGTGCGCATCAGGTCGAAGAGTGTGGCTTTACTCTGCTGACTCTCGTGCTTGCGCTTGGCGGTGCAATACCGTTGGAATGCCTCAAAGTCGGCGGGGGGCACCTGGCGGCCATTGAAATGGGCAATGAGCTTCAATCTGGCAATGGCGCCCTCCACGTTGTTGCGCGTGATCAGCCACTGTGCGCTCTCCTGGACCACAAAGTAGAAGAGCGCCACGATGAGCTGCAGCAGCGCAGAGAACGTCAGATAGATGCGCCAATTGCCGGCCAAGACAGATAACCAGGGCGCCACCAGCGCGCCCAGGCAGAAGCACAGTCCGAGCACTCCGCTGATAGCCAAATTCCTCAGCTTCGGCGCCAGAAACTCGAGCACTGCCATGCCAGAGGGACAGAGAGAGAGAGGCAGAGAGAGAGGCAGAGAGAGAGCCAGACGGATAAGCAGAGCTGATAAAGAGATGATACGCAATGCTTACCTAGAATAAACATCAGATAATAGTTGGCTGTTGCAGCCAGGCCGGAGATGCAGCGGAACGCGCTAAACTGTGTCACATTCGAGGCATACGTGGTCAGGAAGTCACCCACAAAGCCGCACTGATTCGCCAAGATGACCGCACGCACACGGCCAATCCGATCGCCCAGCATGCCAAAGGCGAAGGTGCCCATCAGGGAGCCCAAGAAGAAGAGCGACTGCCCAATGCGCGCCTTGTACGCATTCTCGCAGACCCAGTTGAGCTGCACAATGATCCATTGAAGACAATCAAAGGCTTACGTTTCGTGCTACTCACCTCGACGTTCATGCTGCGGAATCCATAGTCATATTTGTATATCCAGCGCTCACAGCTCTGACTGCTCACGGTCACATTGTAGACTCCCTCGTGGACCTCGATGTTGTCGAGGCGCGTGCAGGCAGCCCTGCTGCCGAAGGGCGCATAAATGGCGGCGATCTCCTCGTGAGTGCGATTCTCCAGCTCCTCGTGGTAGCACCAGTGCTGAGGCACAAACCCGATGATGTTCTGGGAGTAGTAGTGCACCGTGCTGGTGAATGCTATGTAGCCCAGCAGCAGCAGAATCAGATACTGATACCGTCCCGCATCGCCGCATTTTTCCAGAATTTTATCAAAGTCCATTGCGTACGCGCTCCCACTGTGCTCGGCCGGAGATTCTGTCAAGACTGAAATCCGTATACGGCCCAGCGGCATTTAGTTGTGGCCCTCAGCCATCAGATTTGCACAGAGTGCTCGGACGCAGTTTCTGTTTCACTTTGGCTCCGATAAGATTGTTGCTCGGTTGCTTATCGCATCGCCATTGGCGTGCTGTATGTGTGTGTGTGTGTGTGTTTGTCGCGTTCTATCCATTACGAAATAAATGTTTTATTATTTAAGTGAATCCACTTATTTAATCTAAAGAGAGAGACCGGCGTCTATCTGAAGCGCCGCGCCAACTATTGTAGCATGCCAAAACATATTTCATATACATTTGTGTGCGTATCTACGAATATATGTATCTAGATATGATACGAGATACATTTTAGAGTTCAACTATATGTATGGTATATCTGTATATGTGTGCAACAAACGCAAAGCTATTCAACGGTCAATTAATTACATTCAAATGTAAAAGTTTCCTCGGCCTTAACATTGTATCTCAGGGCTTATCAAGAGAGCTCGCCAATGCTGTAAGTGTGTGCGTGTGCTAGACGCTAGATTTATAGTTATATTTACTCTGAATAGCATGTGAATGATAGGCAATTTTGTGTACATAAAAGATATACTAATACTATAGGTTCGTTCAACATAAAAAAAATGCCCTCAACTGCTTCCACTCTCACTCTCTGCCATTCTCTCTACCGCTCTCTTATCACACTTATAAGACATTTAGTGGCTGCTTGCTTGCCAACAAACTTGATGAGTAACCACTCTTATAATAATGCTTATACGCGCATGCAGGAGGCCCAGAAGACGAGTGAATAAGCTGTGCAAAGAGAGCCAAAGATAAAGAGAGATATATGTATGTACATATATTGAAAACAAACGTGTTTTAAATATTTACTCATCGTCTGTGTATTTTCTAGAAATATACATGTTTGATAAGCAAAAGTTTGTACATACATTCACTTTTGTGAAACGATGTCTATTATTATGTCTAAAATAAGTATCCACAATATCCAATATAAATGGCAACTAAACTATGCAAATAAAATAAAAATATGGTAATGTATGCATTCAGCTTCTGCTTGTGGATTTCGATAATAATCAATTCCATCGTCATCATAACAGAAATCATGTTTTCCAACCACAATGTTGAATATTGCAAATTATGGCAGTGATTGAAATCAACTTAATATTATTTAACAGTTTTTCTAAACGATAATTAGTGTGAATACTTTCGCAGCTCTATTTGCTCCACTCAGTTGAGAATCGATGCGATTGTATTCACTCGCACACAGGGTATAATGTAGTCTGCTACTCTTAAGTACGTCACTCATTAGCTCTGCCCCTTTGTCGCATTCTTCACATATTTCGATGAGCGGGCGCAGCCTGATTAATTAATTGATGAAACTCAAAGATCCATATAGAAACTATTGTCGCACATCAAGAAGTTTGCTTGAGAGGAGTCGCCGCTTCAGTTTGCTCGGCCTTTGGTTTCCTTAGAAAGTCAAACATGCGCTCCCCTCTGCCAAACAGTTCGCCCTCGACCAGTGTGATGGGCAATCTGCGATTCTCCGTCTCTGGCAGCAGCAGGCAGAAGTAGCCAGCGGTGAGAAACAGCAGGCAGAGTATAATCGAGGGGCCGGCTCTGTAGAACGTGCCCAGGTGCAGAATGTAGGGCGAGAGCAGGGAGGCAGCCGCGCCGGCCATGTGCGCCACGCTGAGGCCACGGGAACGCACGCAGGTGGGCACCAGCTCCGTGGAGAACAGCAGAGTCGAGCCAGAGCAAACGGATAGACCGAATCGGGAAGCAATCATCAGCGATATCAAGAGCACCGGGCTGGGATTCCGCCAAACGGACAGCGCTACTCCACTGGCTGCCGTAAACAGGCCCGTGAGCAGCAATGACAGCACCGAGGAGCCCTTGCGGCCGAAGCGCTTCTGGATGTCGGCTTGAATGAAGCCAGCGGGCGGCAGTGTCAGTGCGCTCAGCGAGAACATTATCAGCGGGGATATGCCCAGACCCTCCACATTGCGTGCCAGGGTGTTGTAGCAGACCGTTACGATTGTGCTGAAACAGCAGTAAAAACATTCGATCATCGATGCTCTGCGATATCTGTGTGACATTTCACTTACAATGTGATCAGCATGATGATGATGGTTTTGCGCAAGTGCGGCGTCTTGAACATGTCAATGAATTTGTCCTGCTCATGCTCATTAGGCTCCTGCGCTTCCTTGGTGCCGTTGATCTGGCAATAGTTGCGGAACTCCTGGAAGTCCTTCTCGCTCACCTTACGGCGATTCATTTTGGCCACGCGCCTCAGGCACCTCACGGCCCCATCGATATCGTTCCGAGTGACCAGCCACTGGGCGCTCTCCTGCACCAGAAAGTAGAACAGTACGATCAGCAGCAGAGGCAGCGAGGAGCAGGCTAGGAATGTCCGCCAATGGCCCGCCAGGACGGCCAATCCGCAGGAGCTAATCATGCCCAGGCAGTAAAAGATGCCCATGCTTATGCTCAGGCTGGAGTTGCGTAGCGAGGGAGGAAGATACTCGAGCGCTGCAAGAGACAAATTGCTTTAAGCCCAATAATTAACATATAGCCAGAGATTGTAGCACCACTACACACCCAGAATATACATGAGATAGGTGTTGGCATCCACGGCGAGACCCGACACGAATCGTGCTGTGGAGAAGGCAACCAGGCTGCTCGTAAAGATAGTTGAGAAGTCGCCCAAGAAGCCGCACAAGTTGGCCAAAATAACAGACTTGATTCGCCCAATTTTATCGCCCAGAATGCCAAAGATGAGCGTGCCAAACATGGAGCCTATAAAAAAGAAAGATTGACCCACGGGTGCTTTGTAGGCCTCATCGCAGACCCAATTCAGCTGCACAGAGTCAGATAAGATTATAGAAGAAATATAACCATAGCTGTGAATGGCAGCACTCTCACCTCTGTGTTCATGCTTCTGAATCCGAAATCATAGTTATAGATCCAGCGATCGCATTGCTCCCCGCTGACAGTTGCGTTCCGCCCCTCAGAATCTGATCCGATCGTCTCCAGGCGTGTGCATGAGGGATAATCGAACTGATTATAGATGGCCTCGATCTGAGCGAAGCTGCGGTTTTCCAACTGCTTGTGATAGCACCAGTGATCGGGCACAAAGCCAATCACGTTCTGTGAGAAGTTGTGCATCGATGTAATGAACATCAATAGACTGTAGAGGCCGAGCAGCAGGTATTGATAGCGATGCTTGTTGCCGCACTTGGCCAGAATCTCATCGAAATCCATGGCAATGCTTTGTGCCAGATTCTCCTCTCTTGGCTCTGAGCCCGCTGGAGACTCCGCTCCGTATGCGTGAGGTACGAACGCTTCGTGTCGTGCTGGGGCCAATAGAGAAGCAGCCAGCAGTCAGAGCAGTCAGCGTTCAGCTCTCGTTCGATGCCACGCACGTACTGTCAGCTGGTGAGCTCGGCCGCGGCCTCTTTGAGAAATAGTTAAGAGCGTAGTCGAAACCAGCTGATTTTCTCGACTCGACTGCGCGAATGCGCTCTGCTATTGCTGGAATTCCTCTCCGGCCTTTCTGTGACTGATAAGCGCTCAATGCTATATCAGCGAAATGAAAGGCGCGATTCTATTAATCAAACTAATTTTGTTTGTATTTGTATGTGATAGGCCCTCTAGTAATTTAAACACGATTCTCATTACAATTAGACAGTGAGTGTCAGTTCAATTGGAATGAGATAAGAGCTTTACGTACAAAATCTTTTGTTTAGCATTATTATCTACTAGTCTAGCTGTAATCTTTACGAATTCTATAAAACACAAGATCAATTGACTTAGATTTGGGGAGCTGTCGTAAATACTTAGTGGAGCGTTTTTGCTTGGAAAAACTAAATTGATATCAAATCGATTACCTGAAAACGATTGATCGATAATCTTTTGAATCTCTAAAAATAAAATATTCCTTGGCCATTTATCTAAACAGTTTGCAAACAAAACTGAACAGAAAATGTATGTACATACATACATACATATATGTACATTTATTGGGATATGTAAATAACATCCGCTACAAATCAAGTTATTGATAGAAATTTATAACGTTTCAACAACTTTTGCTGTGAATAAAGAGAGGGTTTATGTATATACATATTTGTATTTGTCTCTTCATAACCATGCTAATACCTAAAGTAAATATAATCTATTCTACAGCAAATTTTAATACCTAAAGTTTGATAAAAATCTAAAAATATAATAACAGTAATAAATATTTTTAAGCTCGTACATATGTAAGTGATCAAATAAAATATACTTGATAAACTAGCAAGCAGAGATTTCATTTCTCGACAAACCACTTGACCTAGAGACAGGCAAACATGCATATGTATGAGCAATAAAATTTATTCAAGACTTTACAGTTTATGTCTTAAAGCTCTTTAGTTTATTTTGAAAAAGAATTAATACTAAAAATACACATAATTATATATATTTATAATAATTTAATTTAAGGAACAGTTATTTGGATTCGTGGACCTCCTTGGATTTTTATTCGGCTTCCAACTCCTTCTCGGCGGCGTCTTGCTTACGCAGCTGATGCAGAAAGTCAAACATTCCCTCGCCTTTGCCGAACTCCTCGCCCTCGGCCAGAGACATGGGCAGCTTCTTGTTGCGTGTCTCGGGCAGCAGGAGGCACACATACGCCCCACAGAGGAAGAGCAGGCCGATTATGATCGTGGGTGCGGGCTTGGAGTACGTGCCCAAATGCAGAATGTACGGCGATAGAAAGGAGGCCGCAAAGCCGACGACGTGTGCCACGGCCACGCCACGCCCACGCACGCAGGTGGGTATGAGCTCGGTGCAGAGCTGCGAGCTGACTCCGTCCGCGATCGAGACGCCAAAGCGTGTGAGCAACGTCAGCCCGACCAAGAGGTACACATTGCGGTTCTGGCCCAGTGATATGACCAGGCCCGCAGCGGTGGCCAATATGCCAGTGAGGATCATCCAGCTGACCGCGGTGACCTTGCGCCCGGCCACATCCTGCAGAAAGCCCTGCACATAGCCAGCGGGCGGCAGCATCAGCGCGTTCAGCGAGAAGAGTATGAACGGCGATATGCCCAGGCCCTCCACATTGCGTGCGATGGTGTTATAGCAGGGCACCACGATGATGCTGTTCAAGAGAGTACGAAAACCAGTTATGCTTCGCTTGTGCCACACACCCACACATACAAATGCGCATATTTAACGCTTTCGCTTACAAAATGAGCAGTATTTTAAATGCGCTGCTGCGCATGCGCGGCGTCTTCAGCATGTCAAGCAGCTTGGACTCTGGCTGCTCCGCTACAGTGGCAACCGTAATGCGGTAGTGGCAGTGGCAATAGCTGCGGAACGCCTTGAAGTCCTCATCGCTGACCACACGCCGATTGATCTTGGCCACGCGACGCAGCCGAGCCACGGCGCCATCGATATCGTTACGTGTTACCAGCCACTGGGCACTCTCCTGCACCAGGAAATAGAAGAGTGTGACGAGCAGCAGCGGCAGCGAGGAGCAGGCCAGAAACAGCCGCCAGTTACCCACCAGCACGGCCAGCCAAGCGGCTCCGATCAAGCCCAGCGAGTAAAAGATCCCCATCACCATGTTCAGGCCCACATTGCGCAGAGACGGCGAGACATACTCGATGACTGGTTGGAAATAAGCTCGGTCAGCTGTGCTGCCAGCTGACAGTCGGTTATGTCTAATACTTACGCAATATGTACATCAGATACGAGTTGGCATCGGCAGCCAGGCCAGACACGAAACGCGTTACAGAGAAGGCAGTCAAACTGCCAGTAAATATGGTCAAGAAGTCGCCCAAGAAGCCGCACCAGTTGGCCAATATGACGGCCTTGACGCGGCCAATGCGATCGCCGAGCAGCCCAAACATCAGAGTGCCGCACATGGAGCCCACAAAGAACAAGGATTGGCCGACTCGCGCCTTGTACGCCGCATCGCATACCCAATTAAGCTAAGCAACATGAAAATATATGTACATACATATATATTATGTATGCATATGAAAAAACTCTGAGCACATTTCAACTGAGATGCTTATAGCGCATTTTCAATAAAGAAAATACTTTCGATCTATCAATATACACATGTATGTAGCTGACTATATAGAGTACTAATTCGTTCGACTCACCTCGGTATTCATGCTTCTGAATCCGAATTCATAGTTATAGATCCAACGATCACAACGCTCCACACTGGCAATGGCATTGGTGCCATTCGAATCGTCTCCGAGTGTCACCAGGCGTGTGCATGAGGGCTTATCGAACTGCTTATAGATGGCCTCGATCTCTGCGATGCTGCGGTTCCTCAGCTGCTCGTGATAGCACCAGTGATCGGGCACAAAGCTGATCACGTTCTGGGAGAAGTAGTGCATTGACACGACCACCATGAGAAAGCCATAGAGGGCGAGCAGCAGGTATTGATAGCGATGGCTATTGCCGCACTTGGCCAAAATTTCATCGAAATCCATGATCTCTCGCGCGCTGCCTAAGTGCTGTGGGACCTTGTGCGTAATTCTGATAACAGCATATCTGAGTCGAAGCTATTTATGAATGCTTTTGCCCGTTCAGTGAACTACAAGCCAAACGCGTTCCAATTGCCTCCTGCCGCCGTGCAGTGTGTGTGGCCAACTGGTTGTTGCGGCCACACCGAAAGAAGTTTATGAAGTGCGCGGACTGTGCGTTGACTGATTGTGTACTGTAAACGATTGAGAGAGGCGTTACCTCCACGCCTCTCGCTCGCCCTCTCCACCTCTCTCTGCACATAGGCACGGTGCGCTCTCTTTCGGTCTGGTAATTGAATTATGTATGGCTATGCACCCTATGCAAGCAGACCATATGTAAATTTTGTTTCAACATATAGACACTGGCCTATTGAACGAAGTGAGAACGAGGCTAGCAATTATCTTATACCCTTTCAAAGGGTTCCATTGATTGTCTGCAAAGCATGCCACACCCAAGGTCTGTTCTATATTGTAGCTCTAGATCAAGCTGTTGATTTCTGACTTATGTTTTGCGAATCGTCCCAGATGTTTTGCTACTTGTTTCTATATAGAATATCACAAAAATTCTGAGCTTGTTTCAAAACAGGTTTCCAATCAAACTCGTTTGCCATAACAATTCTGACAAAAATGTGTGCAGGTACAGGTGTTCGTCTATATCTCTAACGAATCCAAATTGATCAGCTGTTATGAGTGGAGCGTTAAAATATCTCTAAATAATGCTTTAAAATTGACCTCTAACTGGTTTTTTATTTTGTTTAATTTACATACCCGCTTAGCAGTATAAGTCTTTTGAAGGGTATTTGAAGTTCGGCATTGCAGCAAGCGTTGCATGCCTCTTTCAATTAATTCAAATACTTGCCACTTTATTGATTGCTCTGATTTATGGGTTGCAAATAAAATATAAATAAAATAATATGAAGAAGAGAAAACACAGATAAATTATTTTTTTTTTTTTTTTTTTTTTTTTTTTTTTTTTTTTTTTTTTTTTTTTTT